ACCTGTAGAGTCAGCTGGGTTTAAAAGTTCCATCTGAAAATTAGAAGGCATTCCTAGACATAAATTCCTGTGAATTGTTTTAAAATTAATTAAAAACTTTGCTTCATACAGGATGCTTAATTGTCTATCCACTTCTAATTAGGCGTGGCTCCACCTCAATCCATCTCCCACAGTAACCCCTAACCTTGAATATACCTGTTCCCTACTACCTCATACAATTCACATATGCTGTTCTCTCGGCCTTGCATGTTCTTCCATGTACAATTTACTGTTCATTCTTCAGATGGCAGCATAAATTTCTACTCCCTTCCCTCTTCCACCTGATTCCCACAGTACTCAATTGGGCTTCCCCCATTATATTATCTCAAAGCACCCTATATTTTTTGCCCCTCTCTTTTTGGTGCTATTTTAATAGATTTTAATTTTTCAAGCAGTTTGACATTCACAGCAAAATTGATCAGGAGGTACAGAGATTTCTCATATACCCCATCGTGCCCCCACACATGCATAGCCTATACTTTTTTATAGTACATATTATAATTTGTAATTATGTAATTGTAAAATTATTTAATATCTTTCTCCATTGTTATAAAGTAACTAAATCTCATGAGAACAGAGCAGGTCTGTTTTGATCACCAGAGCAAAGCCTCAAAAATTTGGCACATAGTTGAACAAATGTCTTGAAACTGTATTTCTTTTCCCCATATCCACTTTAGAGAAGAGCTACGAATCAGAGATAAGGCCAAAAATTTTAAGACGAAGAGAAGTACAGATAATCTAGAAATCAGAGAATTAACACATGATTAAATATGAGTTTGCTTTAAAAAAATAAAAAAGATAGAAAAGCATTAAAATAAAAAGATAACTCACCCTGGAATTTTTAAGCTTCTGGACTGTATCTTTCATTTTTTCTTTATAATTCTTTAGCTTCTCTGGAGAATCCACAATTTTTGTTTTCAAACTCTCTTGTACTTCCTTTGAAGAAACTACTGACAATTTTAGTTCATTCTGTCGAGAAAACATTTTTATATATTAGATATAATAATAAAATTGGTGATTTACCCTTCTAATAAAGGAAAAGAACAAAGAAATGAGTTCCATGTTCACTGTGAGTGGGGTAAAATTAAATTCTGACCACATCACTTGCCTGTTTAATTGCTCATGTTCATCCATAGGCCAGAGATCAAGCTCCTTAGCAAGACACTCAAGGCCCTTCATTACATGCCTCTTACTCTCCTTTCCTAGCTCATCTCCCACTTGTTTCCTACTGCACCCTACAACCTGGTAATGCTAGCCTCATGCTTAGACAAGTCCTAGTGATCTTTCTTAGATCAGCATGGTCCTCCTAGCATATCATCATCCCACTCCTGTCTGCCTGCTGAATTTCTACTGATGCTTGAAAATCCTGCTCCCATTTCCTCTACTTTTCTTCCATAAACAGTGCAATTATTATACATGCAACTCCATACTATAATTATGTATTTAATATATGTTTCATAATTGACAGAACAAATTAGAGTTATGAAGTTATCTTTGATCTTCCAATACCCAAACAAAGTAATAGCACATGCTCAATACATGCTTATGGAATCAAAATAAACCCCTTTCTCCTGAAAATTTTGTTTTGTTTTGTTTTGTTTTGAGACAGGGTCTCACTCTGTTGCCTGGCCTAGAGTGCAGTGGCATCATCATAGCTCACAGCAACCTCAAACTCCTGGGCTCAAGCGATCCTCCCGTCTCGGCCTCCCACAGTGCTGAGATTACAGGTATGAGCTACCCTGCCCAATCCCTTCTCCTGAGTTTCAAAAGTGAGTGCAACCATTCAAGGAATTGAAGCTTTTAAAACTTTGCTGCAGTCTGAAATTATAAAAAAAAAAATTCATATGAACTTCCTTCTCAAATATTTGTTGTTGGTTTGTTGATAAATTATATTTACATTGTTTCAGGATACTCTATGACTCTATCTATGTACTGACATGGAAGATTTCCCAAAAATATTAAGTGAAAGAACTGTATTATACATTTCTATAAAAACAAAAAAACAAAACAGTGACACATGACTACATGCATCTGTATATATGCAAGCAATGTCATGGAAAAAGAAAAGGAAGGGTATCATCTGAAGGTAAAAGGGCTGAGAGAAGTCCTTTCGTATTTGACCCCTCTCTTTCTCTCTCTCTCTCTCATACACACACACACACACCCACCCACACACACACACACACACACACACACACACACGCGCGCGCGCGCACACACACACAGAGTCATTTGAGTAATTTATAACAGAAATGTATTATTGCATGGCTTATGTAATTGGTCTAAATATTTTTAACTTTAAAAAAGAAAAGTTCTTACCTTAGTGATCAGCTAACTCAGAGGTCAAAATGAAATATTTAAAATAATGCATTTCTGTTATTTCTATATATTTTGTTATTTTATTCTTAGAGTTCCACAAACCACCATACTATCTACTATTTTAATGCTCTACAAAATTAGAGATCATTTTCCTTACAATAGTGTTAACTTTCATCACTTTTCTTCCCTTTATAAAAAGCCTAAACTTGACATTGTAAGTACAAAGTTTTGTTTTAATCTATATTTAAATGGGACAGAAAGAAATGAATAATAAAATTGAGCCATAGTAAGTAATACTCAAAGGAAAACATTTTCCAATAAAAAGAATGATAGAAAAACAAGGGTATGTAATACCAAAGTAAATTTCAGATTGCTCTAAAGTATAAATGTTAAAATAATAGGGAAACCATAAAATACAATGAGAAAATATAGTATTAAAAAATAATATCATGAATGGGGCAGGCTTTTCTATATATAGAATTAAAGCCAAAAACCATAAAGGCCCTAACTATAAATTTTACTATATAAAAATGTAAACCTTCAAATAGAAAAAAATTATGATTTTGAAAGATAAATAGAAAACTAATATCACTAATTCATGGAGTTTCCTTAAAAATAAATAAGCAAGGTACACAAACAAGTACACAAACAAGGATTGCTTGAGCCCAGGAGTTTGAGGTTGCTGTGAGCTATGATGATGCCACTGCACTCTAGGCCAGGCAACAGAGTGAGACCCTGTCTCAAAACAAAACAAAACAAAACAAAATTTTCAGGAGAAAGGAGTTTGTTTTGATTCCATAAGAAATAACAAGAAATCATTTAAGATGGTCAAAATCACTAGAAATAAAGAAACCAAATTAAAATGAGATTTTCTCTCTGTAAGAGAGACAAAATGTTAAAAAAAAAACCCAAAAAACTAAAAACATCCAATTTTGGAAAGGGGTGAGGGAAACAGTCCCATATTCTGCTGGTAGGAGTATAAATTGGTATCTTTCTAGAGGTCTGCTTGGAAATATGAGTCAATATTAAATGTGTATTTCCATGATCCAAAAATCCTAAATTAAGAAATCTATAAGATTAAAAAGCAGCTTCATGCAGAAATGTACATATGTATGCATATAGCACACACATACACATATTTATCTTTAATAGCAAAAAAATTTAGAAGCAATATGAAGGTCTATCAGTGGGGGACTAAAAGGCTCTACATGACAGTACATACATATAATGCACAACCAGATGCAAGCATTAATATAATGAGAATCTGTGTGAAACTCGTGATAATTATTTGTACTATATTGTTAAGTAGGGGGAAAAGCAGGTTTGCGATATGTTGAGTGTAATATCATTTATGTAAAATTACATATATATATTTGCATTTGCATAGCAAATATAATCTATGATATATGTCATATTGTGTGCATGCAAACTGCTTTCTGGTGATCTTTATACATTTCTGGTGTTCTGAGTCTTCTAAAACAATAATAATCTATTATATTTAGGTTGAAAATAGTTAAGTGAGTTTCATTTTGAGGGAAAAAGGGAGAAACATTTGACTATAATAACATACACACAGCTTAAATACTCCTTCACACAATATATTCAAATTTTAAATGCTAGTTTTAAAAAAGATGCTTACCAAACGCTTGGTTTTCTCTGAAATATTTGACTTCTTTTGTGAATTTCCCTCTTGCAGCACTGTCTAGGGAAAAAGCAAACAAATGTTTTATAATGACTCAAAACAGATTTAAATTTAGCCACTCACTGCTTTCTCATAAAATAAAGGTAAGAAGAAAGGCGTTAAATGGGTTAGATCAGATATTCTGCAAACTTTCTGTGTTCATGATGCCCTTAGGCCAAAAGAAATATCTAAGAGTTCCTTTACTATGTAATTAAGACCAAATAACTGCGTAACTATTTATGTCCTACAATGCTATAGCCCTCTGAAAAAATAATACATATAAGTTGAAAGCAAAAAATATTTTTACTTCATTCTTAAATAACCAAAATTACTCCCTGATTAGATGTGTGTACCTATTGGGCATTGCATAAATTCACACACCCTGGAATGTATTTATCAGGGACATTCTTATTTCCTGTGCTATAATCATTTTCACATGGTATTTGCTTTTTATCATAGAAAATGCCAAAACTCCAGCTTCACAAAGATAGGAAAAGTAAAGTTATCTAACACTGAAACTGTGAACTACCTTGAATTCAAGAAGTATATGACAGATACTGAGAACTGTAGTGTTTCCCTTGAAAATATGTAATATTTTAATGCTCCCTTAGGGTTTGCTGCGGTGTCCAGGGTGCCACAGTGCGTGGTTTGGAAACAGAATTAGACAAAAAAGAACTCTCAAAAATTTCATTCAACAAGACAGCACGTAACTTTGGCAACATAAACAAACCATCATGGTTCTAAGAGGCACAGCAATACATTCTATTTCTTTAGTAATTGAAAGCAACGTGCTTTTACCTCCTCTACAGGCCCTACCACATCTACAAAAATAAAAAATTTTCTAAAATGTCTCCCCATAGATACCGTTTTTTGATGAAAGTCTTGATTCAGTGATTGCTGCAGCTCCTGAATAGCATCTGAAAGTTGCTTGAACTCTTCTTGCTCTTCAACTGGAACAGAGCTAAACACAGCAAAATAGATTAAAATAACATTTATCGAGTTCTTAACTTTGAAAGGCTAAAATAAAATCCTGCCCTCGAATAACTTAGATGAAGAAACCATCTGCTTTCATGTTTCTGAATTACATCCTTTCATATGACAGCCATTTAAAATAGATTATCTGGCCTCTACCACAGAGAGAAAATAAAAATCAGATGAGCTCCTTCAATTTTCTACCTTCAAATCTACGCATTCATCCACATACATACCTACCCTTTCAAACTTCACTCCTAATAAAATGAACATGGTATTCCTTTTCCTGTTTGATGCTAATATCTGCACCTCTGCTGCGGCTCTCATCTCCTCACATCTCCTAGTCCTGTATCATCCATCCTTCTGCTACCAGTCCTTCCTAACAGCACTTAAACACATGTTCAAGGCTCTTCCATATGAATGTGCTCTAGGTTAGTTTTTGCCTATCTGATTTATTAGCCATCTGTTTTTATTCTGCTGTAAACTCTCTGTGAATAGCCTTTGCCCATTTTTCCATTATCTTTTTTCCTATCAGTTTGTAGGAGTGCTTTGTATATTAGCAATGTTACATGGATTTTGTTATCAGAAGTTAGTAATGCTTTGTGGCGTATGTTGCAATTATTCTGTCTTAGTTTGTCACTTTTGACTTAATCTGTGGTGTCTTTTACTGTGTTCTATCTGCCTCCTATCCCCAGTCTTTTCAGCTTTCTGCTGCTTATGAAGTCAACTGTTACTAGGGCCATGTTAGAAAAGCTCTCGCCTGAAACAAATAACCTCAAAGACATCAACAAATTAGAAAAAAACAAACAAACAAACAAAAATCCTTTTGCTTAAAATCAACATACATATATATATATATATGAGAAAGGCAAAGAAATCTTAACTTTTAAGTGATTCTTTCCCCTATATAACCTGAGCCAAAAACAATACAAACAAAAAACTCTGTAGTAGGAGTTAAAAATCTTAACAAAATTAACTGATCTGGAGAAACAGAGTTCAGACAGTTATTGCTCATCTACATAAGATAAATAATCTAGATATAATTTAGGAGAGTAAGTTAATGACTTTAAACAGTCAGGCTAACACACTAACAAGAAAGAAGCCAAAGAATGTATTATATAATTAAGAGTTAGAAGAAAAACAGTTTTTCTTTTTTTAGAAAAGGCAAGCTTAAATAATCTATGAAGGAAGATAAAAGAGACAAGGTGGACTGTAGGGTTGTAAAATATTACTTGCAATTCACTTTGCATTTTGAAATTGCATTTACTTTATTTATAAACATCCCACTTACTCAAGTCTCTCCAATTTCATTAATGCCTCCTGGTGTGCGACATTTAACTGCTGCATTTTGTCTGCAGAGGATTTCTATTAAAGCAATTTTAATAATCTCATATTAAATCTCCGATTTTCAATGTAATCAATTATTTCTTTTTTCAAAAAAGTCTACTAGCACAGACTACAAAATATTTACTCACTCTATAATTTTTGCCATCAGAAATAAGAAATTTAAGACAGTTAGGCATTCATGACAAATGTATTAGGGATTTCTTTACTTAACACAAATGTTGAGTTCTTACCATAGTTAGGCACTATACTAAATACTAGGAATTCCCAAGACTAACTTATAGTTCCTAAACTTAAGTAGCTCAGTCTCCTTGAAGATCAGATACAGTGATGAAAAACCTACAAAATAGCTTGTTATTTTGAATATAATGGGAACAATGAAGAGTGACATCCAAACCAACTTGGGTAATGGCTGGGGAGGAGGGTCAGAGAGCTACCTAGAGGTAATAGATGTCCGAACTGTATCTTCAAAAATACAGGAATAATTAGCCAAGCAAAATTGTGTGTGTGTGTGTGTGTGTGTGTGTGTGTG